AATGGAAATGAAATGATGTATACAGACACCGAAAACTAATAAAATGAAATCATTATTTTCAAATTAAATAAAGATTTACATAATGAAAATAATGAGAAATGAAGTACATGGAGTTAAAAACAATAATAGTATTACATTTACTTTTATTGAAGAGTTGTTGTGGGTGGATGGAAAATGGAAGGAGGGGATAGGAGGAAGGTATACACAATTTTTTGGAAGGCTCACTAAATATCTGTCCAGAGAGAGAGGTCTGCTTTTTTGTTTAAGATTTCCGTGAAGTGGGAGACAAGAGTGTCATTGTACATGTTGGCAATATGGCATGCAAACAGGTTTGTTAGGTTAGTGAAGTTGATGGATAACTTTTCAAAAATGTACATAAATGTTTGAAGAAGGTGCATTCCTCCATCTCTCTTACTTGTCTTGTTCTGCTACAGTTTCCTGAGTTGTGATGTCTTGTTGTTTCAGCTTTTGAATGGATTGCTCTTGTTCCCTGTGGTACTCCACCAACTGTTTACACATGGTCACCACTTACCTCCAATTCCTAGAGACATGCCCAATGCAACAATAGTTTGCAAAAGTGGCATGTGTTTCAATAACCCTTCAAAATCCGTCCTCTCTTTCTTGTACACAATCTGGCCACAAATTTGTCGAAGCAGAATTGAAGGTTGTGGAAGTGACTTTTTCCCTAGATTTAGATAAGGTTTATATGCAATATTAAAAGCAGTTTTTAAACACTGGTTTGGTGTAGTTTTGTGAAGTTTGAAATGACTTTCTTTTCCATGGGCTAGAGGAGAGGAATGGTATTAGGAGGGAAGAAGTTAACCTGATGAAATGAAACTCCTCCTGTAGACTTGCAAGGAGCATTTTTCCAATTACTAAGAGGCACTTGAGTGACAAATTATTTTCCAGGAGGTATTTATTTCTTCACAATGGGGGCTAAAAGGAGTTTAGAAAAGTTTTTATTAGCGTTGCAGATGACACACCAATTTACTGTTGGCGACACTATATTTGTTAAACATTGGGGGGGGGGGGGATTTTGAGAGTGATTCAACAGTAAACGTTTCATTTTAAAATCTACAGTAGCATTTTGATAGGATTTTTGTTCTGGGAGTGGTGCTTTCTCCTGTGATGTAGGTAGGTCCTCGTTTTGCATTTTTTTGGAAAAGAGAGAGGCATATTTGGTTACAATTAAAGACTTGTTGGGGTTTAAAATTGTTACAATTGTGTGTGTGTGTATCTATATATATTATATAATATACACACACTTGTTAAACTCGTGTATAAACTTTTTCAATTTTTTTATCAGAAGTGGCTGCCTCAACATATGTGTTATAAAATCTCTCAAAGCAACTGTTAAAATCAGAGGCATCAATCACACACTAGTTTTCAGGCATTTTCTTTACCAGATGGTCATTGGACTGTGTTTACCCCTTTGACCTTTTATCGACTGTGTAACAATTAGAGTAATTCACACGAATGATACCCTGTTTGTTAGCAACAGCACACTTGATTTCATTTCCTTTAGACACAATTGAATTGATGGTTGAATGGGGCTTACATTAGAATAAGAAAAAAAGTGAAGGAAGAGTAGGTTTTGTAAATATTTGAAGTTTTTTTAGTTAGCAGGCTTGGGCGAGACAAGGTTTGCATTACAGGAAATGTTGTTGAGGTGTTTAGTATATTTTCCATTTCTTGTTTGAAAAATATGGGATTTATAATAAGTTAGCGTGTGTGGCTTATTATGGAGTGTGAAATATTTGTGCATTTTGTGTTAGTTGCTGAAAGCATTTTTAAGATTTGAGTTATTTCATATACGAATAATTATGTCAGTAGTGATTCAATTTATTGTAATTGATTAATTTGTTTTTAGCATATTTTTCAGTAAGTTGGTTTCTTGTTATATAACCATTCTCTCTCTTTTTATATGTGATGTTAAGTTTCCTCAAATTAATTGGTCTATTTCGGTTGTGTAGGGAAAGTGGTGGGGGAGGATTTTAAGTGTTCATATCTTGTTTGTTATTTTTTGACCCGGTCTGTTGAAATTCAATCTCTAACAAACATGAATTTTTTGAAACTTTATGATGACAGTATATATTAAACTGTGATGGGGGTAAAAGATGTTAGAGATCTGATGGTATGGAGTTTTATTATAAATAGAGTGGGAATATGTGGTCAGGCGATAAGTAACGAGGAATGTATGTATTGTACACCGATCCTAGAGGTTGAACATTAAAATGGTATAAAATACCGACAGGTTATTAGGTAAGACACGTATGTAACACTTAGGTATCTTTATTATGAAACATTTGGCCTACACAGTAGGCTTCTTCAGTCAAGTACAGAAAAGTTGATAGACGCAGAAAATACTTGAAGACGATGTAATCAGTCCATCACCCTTAAAGTTTTGAGGTGGTCAGTCCCTCAGTCTCGAGAAGAGCAATTTTCCATAGTATGAAATAATATTACTATGGAACAATGCTTTTCTCCAGACTGAGGGACTGACCACCTCAAAACTTTAAGGGTGATGGACTGATTACATCGTCTTCAAGTATTTTCTGCGTCTATCAACTTTTCTGTACTTGACTGAAGAAGCCTACTGTGTAGGCCAAATGTTTCATAATAAAGATACCTAAGTGTTACATACGTGTCGATCCTAGAGGTGTTTATGTGGATTTGACTTTGGTTAGGTTCCCTTAGAATCGAAGGTACTGCAAGTTAAATGAGATTTGTTGAGTTGGGGTTGGTATAATTTATGGGGAGAGAGGGTTGGGAGAGGATGTTGGAGAATTTATGCGCGAGATGGGGGGGGGGGGGGGAAAAGTACTTATAAGGGGGGTTATTAGGAGAGAGAGGAGGGCGTGCGGGGGGGAGGTATTAAAAAGGTGGATTGAAGAGGTGAGGGGGGGGGGGGGAGGGGACAAAGGCTGTAAAACATAGCCTATGTTAGGTCATTAGCTAGAGTAAGTTCTCTCCGACCCTTGGAGTTAATGCAAAATGAAGCTCTCAGGATTATTCTTGGCTGTCCCAGATCTACAAAAGTTCTTAACATGAGGAAGGAGCTTGGTATTTCTAGTATCAGTGATAGGATTGTTGAAATTAACACTGTACTCGGTATTAGAATGTTGAGAAACGAACCAGACACTGTCACAGTGAATCTTACCAAGTGTCTAGACGTAAATACACACAGATCTAAATGGATTGTGAAAACGTGCAATTGCATTAAGTTTTATAACCTGCATGAACTGTATCACTGTAGGCAACAAGAGCATTTCACCCCTCCATGGAAGATGTGTTCATTTAATATCACATACCTACAAGTCCCTCCCAAGAAGCTCATTGCTAGTAATCCCTTCT